TGAGGCCGGATTTGAACTCAGGTCCTCCTGACTTCAGGGCCAGTGCTTTATCCACTTTGCCATCTAGCTGCCCCTGCCCACTGCCGTTTCTTCATAAGAGCAAGTACATTGAGCCAGCCTTGGATGGCCCTCAGGGGCCTTCCCCCTACGTTATAGTCTTTATTCCTGCCAGCAGAACTGCCAGGAGCTGTAGAAGGTTTGCAGAAAAGCTCTGCATCTTTGTCGGGAACCTGTTAGGAGCTTGATAATACTTATTCTTATTATTATCCTAACAAAATTCATTCTAAGTACATTCTAATAGAAATCTCCAGATTAAATAACAAATATCTACTCTGAATCGATAGCAGGATGTGAGAAGGAGGAAGGTTCAGTTTAATAGGCATTTTATTGTCAACAATTCAAATCAGTAGAAATGTATCAAGTACCTACTATGTGTCAGGCATAAAATCAGTCCCTCCCCTCCAAGAGCTTCTACTGGAAAATGTAGCCTATTCAGAGATAAGTAAAGTAATTGGAGGAGGAAGAGGACTCAAAAAGTCCAAAAGGGATTTGCATAGCAAAATAGAATGTTAAGAGAAGGTAAGTGTCCTGAGCAGCACGCCTGGACAAAAAAGGTAGAAATGGCCCAGAGAGCATCCCCACCAGCAAGAGGGTCCATGGCTGGAACATGAAGGGCAGGAAAGAGATGTGGCAGAGGACAAACAGGTGGGTTTGTGGTTTGTCCTGGAGGCAAAAGGGAGCCTCAGGAGTTTCTTGGATTATGGAAAAGAGCCAAAGCAAGGGGATCAATTAGGATCAATTACTTTTGCAGTAATCCAGATAAGTGGTGAGGACCTTAACCAGAGATCACAGGATCATTATTCTGGGTCTCAGAAGGACTTTAGAGGACCTCTAGTCCAACCTTCTTATTGTATAGGTGAGGAAACCAAGGCACAAAAAGGCTAGTGACTTGCCTAAGGTCACACTGGCAGTAAGTAGCAGAGCTGAAATTTGAACAAAATTTCTTTGATTCCACATTTACTTTACATTGCACCATTACTATTGTGATTTATCAGTCAATAAACATTTATTATTTATACTATGTGTCAGGCATCGTGCTAAGGACTTGGGATACAAAAAGAGACAAAAGAGTCTCTGCCCTCAGGGATCTTATAATCCAACAGAGGAGATAACATAGAAACAAGTATATTCATCTAAGCTATCTACCAGATAAAGAAGAAATAATCAACAGATGGAAAGCACTGGAATTAAAAGGGATTGGGAAATGCTTCCTGTCGAAAATAGAATTTTAATTGGGACTTTAAGGAAACCAGGGAAGCTATTGTGATACTGCAGAGAAGCGGGCCCCAAGTAAGAGAGCTTATGGAGGTAGAATCCACAGGACTTGGATCAAAAAGTCCTGATCGAAAATTAGGAGTGAGGGATAGGGGAAAGTCGAGGATAACCCTGAAGTTGTGCACCCAGATAACTGGGCTGGTGGTGATTCCCTGAACAGAAACAGAGAGGTTGAGAGAAAGGGCAGTTTTAAGAGGGGAAGATAGCAAGTTCTCATTTGGACATGTTGAGATTTCCTTGTGGAAGTGTGCGTTAGGCAGTTGGTGAGAGATATTAGGGCTGACACACAGCTGTGGGATTCATCTGTCTAGAGATAATAGTCAAAGCCATAGGAGCTGGGTCTGTCACCCAGAGAGCAGGGAAAAGGAGCCAGGCCAGAGCCTTGTCAGAAGCTAAACAGGAGCTTAGTCATAGACGATGGATCCAGAGGAGCCATGGACAGATGGGAGGAGAAGAGGGAAGAGCAGTGCCTCAATGGTGAGTTGTCCACTGTGGCTGGAATAGAGCAGGGAAGGGGACAGTTGTGAAATGAGTCTGAATGGGAAGGTTGGAGGCAGGCTATGATGAGCTTTGAAAACCAAGCAGGGTGGGTAGTGCTTTATCTTAGAGGCAGCAGTGAACCACTGAACTAACCTTTGTGAGCAGGAGTGGGGTAGCATCAAACTTGGAACAGTTAAGAAACCATTGGTCAACTACTTGAAAAGTCTTCAGCATTCCTGTTAACACCGTGGCACTAGTCACATTTCCAGAAGACTCGTGATGAAATATGCCAACCACCTCTAGATAGGGAGGGGCAGAGGAAGCATAGTAGGGGAGGGTGGGGGGCTAATATGGGAATTTGTTTTACTCAGCTATATTTTTAATGAGTTTTGATTTTCTTGCTTTCTCAGTGGGTAGGAATAGAGGAATGGGGAAGATAAGAAATCAGAACTGAAAATAAAATTGAATTTCAGAACCTTGGAGGGAACAATTTAAGTTGGTTGGTAAGTTTGGAAGCCAGATTACAAGGGGCTGAATAGTGAATAGGAAATGCCAAACTGGAAGCCAGGAGCATAGATGACTTTTTCTAGAGTGGCCATGAAAGGAAAAAAGAGATGTGGAATGCTAGGTTGAGGAGAGGGCAAGTGCTGAATGAAGGCTTTGTTAAGGATGAGGGAAACCTGGGCATGCTTTGAGGTGGCATGGGAAGAGCCTGTAGCTGGAGATAGAAGATGGGAGAAAGACAGGGTAATGACTGAAGTGGTAAGCTGCTGAAGGAAATAGTAGAGGGCCGGATGAAGAGCTCACAAGTAAAGGGTTCGGCCTTGGCAAGGAAAGGCGACGAAAGGCATACGTTGCCCTCAGACTGGAGTAATGGAGAAAATGGAGGATGATACAGACAGGTTTTGAGGTGTACCAAAGAAGTTTATAATGGATTGCCTCAATTTCCTCCCTAAAGAGAAGGAGACAAGATGGTCTGCTGTGTGAAAGTGAGGAAGAGGTCATGGAGGAGGCTTGGAGACTATAGAGAAGATTTGGAACAGCCACTTGGGAAAGTCTCCCAGAGAGGCAATCTGACAAGTGAAAGGGCTGCTGTGCAGTGGTGAGGGCCCAGTTCAGATTCTATGTAACATAAGTCTGTTGTGGGCCCAGGCAGCACAGTTGAGTGTGGGATCAGAGAAGGCAGATGCTGGGGTTATCCAGGGCTGTAGTTTGATGAGCCATGAGTGATGAAGGTAAAAGAGGCATGGAATTCAAGGGTAAAGGCGGTGTATATAATTGAGCTAGTTAACCTAGATCAAGACCATGAAGAAAAGAAAGTTAGGAGAGTACAGAGAGGGATGGAGTGACTAGAGATTATGGTGAGGAGGCATTAGTAGGCTTAGGGGAAGTGAGACAGGAGAGATAGAAGGGAAGGAGATGGAGATCAGAGAAGGATCTCAGGGCTCTGGATCCTGGCAGCAGAGCTATGCCGGTCTCTGTGTGCCCATGTGTGCTGGAGGTGGTGTGGGAGTGAAAGAGGGCCATGGATTGGAAGTTATTTGAGGGGACATCAGCATATGTGTTGAAATGCTCAAAGAAGCAGGCAAGGATTTTGATGGAGGAGAAGGCTACGAGCCAGGTACTGAATGCCTTCAGAAGGAATGAACTGTGCCTTGGCAGATGACCCTGACAAGGATCTGAAGAGGGGAGCTTCAAAGGAAATGAGGTTGTTGAGTGGGCAGCAGCAGAAGAAGGGGTCCTGGAGAAGGTGGCCAGGAAGGGGGCAGCCAGCATTCTGTGACTGAAGCGTGGTGGAGTAGAAAGAACAGTCAACCAACCAACCAACCAACATTTTTTTATTTTTTGGCAAGGCAGTCAGGGTGAAGTGACTTGAC